TAATATTTGCTAATAGTAATAAACGCAGTGGCTACGCGTCCGAACCGTCGCCGAGTCTCCAGGCTACGCATCCGGACATCCACTCACAACAGTGATTGCGTGACTGCTGATTGCCGAAAATATACAGTATATGCACTGCTGCCGTCTATCCTTTCATCCGTCCTCTCTCGCTCTCTCTCTCTCTCAATCTCTCACACACACGCACAGCTCTCTCTCTCTCTCTCTCACACACACGCACAGCTCTCTCTCTCTCTCTCTCACACACACGCACAGCTCTCTCTCCTCTCTCACACACACGCACGCATGCACGCACGCACGCACACCCAGGGTCTCCAACCTTGTGAACTCCAATGCCAGAATGTAATTGATGGACGGGGGGGGGCGAAATTAACTTGGCTGCCGCAGGCAGGCCCCCACGTGCTGTAGGCCATGCCAGTGGTAGGGAGTCTGGGGCATGCCCCCCCAGAAAATTTTGAAAATTTAAGCCATTTTCCTGCAATCTGAGGCATACTGTGGGCCATATTCTCATGTCTGATACACGTATCTCAACCCTAGACTCACCCTACAAGTTAGGATTCAAACACTTTTCATGACTTTTCAGAGAGCGTACACAGTTAGGTTATTATATTAATAATACATGTAGAGATTGCAATTTCTCACAATTTTACGTGTTTTGTATGTCTGCAACCATACTTTTTGGCTATTTGGAAGTCTGGAAACATTTTCTGAAGAGTTCATTTGCATGGTCTGCCGCCCTCAAAGGGACATTGTGCTTCAATTAAATATAATCCGTAAATCTCACTTCTGCCGCAAGACAGACAATTTTCTATCTGCCTGCAAAAGAAGCTTGATATATTGGTGTAGATTCCACTGCACCCGCCATAGCACTTATGCTGTGAGCAGACTATATGCCTCTGGCAGTCACTCCTTCCTCCGTGCCCCACTTGAAAGTTCTGTCTTGCATACCATGCAATAGCCATGCTTAACACTGTGCGTTTTGACTTCACAAGTACAGGCACATCTGTGTTATATTCGTTCCTGAATTTCTGTAAAGTCGGTTTTTTTGGATGGCCAATGGCAATGGACGCCATTCTCCCCACGTGTTAATCTGATTAGCAGACAAACTACGTGACACCTTGTCACGACAGCACTTGTCTGATTAGGCTGTTCCATATTACCGTAGAACAGAGATACAACATGCATAGAATTAGAAACACATTATAACACTGAGCGATGGTAGGGGCGGGTGTGCAACAACTAACAGGTAATGGCAGAGCCGTGCATTTTCAAGAAACGGACTCGCCGCAGTGACGGCTATTGATAAACTCTACTGCACCAGCGCGTGGCCAGTGCCAGGCACGGCTGAAAAAAAAAAAATGTGTCAAGCGAACAATGCGAACAATCAGTGCAAATTTTATACAGTGCAACTGAAATGAGGAATATAACCTTGCCGCTGCGTGAGTGCGGAAATTAAGCCGTAGAAATCGTAATGAATTCCGCAGAATGCGGAATGGTTGGAGACCCTGGCACACACACATACACACACACACACACTTCTAGCTCTCTCTCTCTCTCTCTCTCACGCATATACACACACATACACAAAACACACACACACACTTCTAGCCTCTCTCTCTCTCTCTCTCTCTTCTCACGCGATACACACACATACACATTCCCTCTCTCTCTCTCTCGCTCTCTCT